TCTTCTGCATCCTTGGCCACTGACTTCCCTCTATACTCAAACAGGACCTGAATTCCTAAATAGTTTTAAGGATCTAGGTTAAAAATGTGATGCATTAAAAAGTAAAAAAAAAAAAAGGATAATCTTTAAAATAAAATCCACTGGAATTGCTCTTAGTTAATGAGCTTTTCTGGCCATAGAGGATGGTCATCTAATAGGTGGCAGATAATCTTGGGGAGAATGAGGACAGCCTAGATTTCAAGAATAGCATAATTGTATGTAAATGCAAGGAACTGGGAGCTTTTTTTAGCCTGGAAGAGCAAAGTTCATCAGATAACAGGGCAGTTCAAAGCCCAGATTATCTGGGAGGGGGAGCAGCAGCAATGCCAGGTGGGTGCTGCCAGCCCCATACTGCAYGGGCATGGATTTCTGGGTTACAAACTGTGATAATAAATGTGTGCATGTTTCTCAGGAGCACTCAGTCTTTGTCAAACTTCAGTAATTAATTAAACCCCCACTCAGTGATGCTGTCCCTACCTTCATCAGCAACTGGGTTTTCAAAGCCACYGAGTGCTGTGGGTTATGCCAGAGCCACTTGGGCCTTTATCAAATGTGGGATTATCTGCAGAAAATAATTACCACACAAGGTGCTGCTGGATATTTCAAACCTTACACTTCTGATCACTGATTTTTCTGCAGAGGCTCAGCTCATCTCATTACGATCCTCATGTCATTATGATTTATTTGCCAGGCTTACGGCTCCGTGGCTTTTGGCTTCCTGAAAAACAAGTCTTAGTGTGTTGGGAGCTTCCCTGCACAGCTCCAGTGGCTTTTGGGCCAACGTTTTGTCCACACTGGGGCATTTCAGGTGCTGCAGGGACCTTGGGGAGCCCCTCCAGTCTGCAGGGGAACAGTGACATGAAGGGTGCTGTGCTCTCACCATTACACAAGTCATGACCAAGCGTGTGATGTGACCCTTGGCTTTGCAATGGAGCTCAACACCAGCCCATCCCTTGTGCAGATCTGGGCAAGGACTTTTGGGGGGAAAAGGTGGGGGAAAAAGAAATTTTATGAAAGAAAATTGTGGCAGCAACAGACCTGATCAGATTTAATTATTTTTGTAAGCAACAGTGACTGTGCCAGGCTGGCTCTGGCAGCTCAGCTGTCTGGGGGAGCCCAGCAAAAASCTTCCCACTTGGCCAAACCTGGAAAACTGCAGGTGACCCCAGGGAAATTGGACCCACCGACACTCATCCTGAGATTTAAGTGCTGTCACCTTTGTTCAGTTCTGGAGACACGAAAGCAAATGTCAGCACGTATCCCCTGCTCCTGTGTGCAGCAGGCACAGAGAGGGGGACCAGCAGGGCCAGATGGCGATGGAGCAAGATTTTACAGACTTGTAGCTCCATCCCTCAAGCTCAGTGGGTTTGTCAGAAATGGTTAATCATACTCCAACTGGACCGAGCAGAAGAAAAGCACTTTTCAATCATGTGCCTCACAGTGTACTGGGTTTCTGAAGCCCATATGAAAAAAGGGTTTGGAAGCTGCATTTGCATTTATTGCTGATATTTGTACCAACTCTTGACTTCTTTAAAAAAATGTGATCTGACACCTTTCTGTGGTGCTGGTGAAGGGCCCAGCAGAGGGGAGCATCACCCAAGAGATTCTTTTCTCCATTTATTGCCCATCTGCTCCAATTCCAGCGCTGCATTAAAGCTGGGATTCACATCAGTCATTGCAGAGATGCTCTGCAGTGAGAACCAAATTTTGAAGAGCTGCTTCCAGCAGCAAAACCATCATATGAACAGAGGCACTGTGCCTGGGATTTTAGTATAAAATTGAATGTGAAGAATGCTGCAATTCTATGCAGAGTCCCCAAAGCTTGTTCCATYACCCCTGGGGAGAGGCAGCAAGCAGGGAAAGGGGAAAAGGCTGCGGATTATTTTTTACCATTTGCTGAATGATCCAGGTTCCTGCTGCACGAGAGCAGCTCAGCTGTACCAGAGCTGACAGACAACATTCATTGTGTTTTTAATCACTGACAATGAATTAAACTGTACATATTAAATGCCAATTATATAATAACYTGTAGTTACAGTGTCAGACTTGTCGCTGAAAGCAATATTTCTATCCAACTTAGCAAGTCTGCTTTGGAAAATATGRAAAATCTGTGAAATTTCTAAGAAAAAGGCTGTTATTTACAAATTCCRGGTTGATGTCTCCCCCCAGTATGCCAGAGGCCCAGCAGGGATTTCGGCTGAGCTGCACTGACTTTTACCAGGTGAAGACYTCAAGACAACCTGAAAATGTTGAGCTGTGTGGATGTGGCTCTTGGGGATATCCTTTAGTGGTGAACACAGTGGTGCTGGGYTGYTCTTGCTCAAGGATCTTAGAGGTCTTTTCCAACCTTAATAACTCTAAGACATGGCTTTTTTAACAACAAATAATAGGGCCAGGTCACCAACCCTCAGGAAGTTGTATAAAGTGCCAGAGATGCTTTTCCACCAGCTTTTCTTGCCCACCAAAACCACATCAAGGAGCTGGTTCTTGTGCTTTTACTSCAAGACCAGCTCAGTGAAAATCAAGTTTTCTATTCACAATAAACCAACACTCCTTAAGAGCAAAAAACATACAGGAGACTCTTCCCTTTGGATGAATACTTCCATTTATTCCAACTGGAAAAAACATTTTTTTAAATATACTTAAGTGTAATTTCTTTTTTTTTTTCTTTTTAAAGGAATAATAATTATCACATTGTCCTTTACAAACAACAAAAAAATTCCTAGCAATAGTCTGTGGTATGGAGACATCCATCTTCCAGATTTTTCTGCATCTGCTGCTTTGAGTAGGCAKGGGGATGTCCCTGTGGGTGCCCAGGGCTGCCAGTGCCATCCCTGCAGAGGGACCCTCATTGCCAGGGCACAGAGAGGGGCTGGGCTCAAGGTGAGGGACACCCTGAGGTGCCAGCAGCACAYGGGGCGAGGGCAGTGTGGCTGCCAAAGCTCTCAGCCCTCCTGTGGCTCAAAGCCCAGCCTATCTTAACCCCCTCAGGGGCTCTGGGTGCCAAGAGCCCCTTTTGCAACCCCGGGAAGCACCGGGACAGCCTGGCATCGGCTCAGCYGGGACACGTGGGATGGCAGAACCCCAATGGATTAAAGCACACAGAGAACAAACTCACATCCACCATAATACAACACAGCTGAGCCTGCTATGGGGGCCTCTGCCACAGCCAGGGGCTGAGACCCCAGGGGACAAACCCTGGCCCCAAAAGCCTCACAGGGGCCAGGGCACCGCGCCGGGCAGGAGATGCCCGTGGGGAGCAGTTTGCAGGTGTTCTCATGTGATAGGCAGRAGGCAATACTGAGACTTCCACTGGGTAATGAACAGCAGTTAACATAAGCCAGGAGACTAGAGCACCATAAGACAAATCTATATTCAAAACAACGTCATGCTGACATCACACAATTGCACCATTTACACTTTATTTACTCCAAATAATAGTTCAATGTTTAGTAACTTCAGCGTTCTCTACAGAGGTTGTGAAATTCCTTCTCCGGCTTTGGTAATTTACAATGTTGCAGACATTTGGTAGTTGTGTTGTTTCCTGTTTAATAATAATAATTAAAAATAAAAGTCCCTTTGCAGCTGTCAGGGTTCCTGTATCTGACTGATGGGAGTGTACCTGCAAATCACAGGCTTCAAAATGCCACTGAGGCCTCGTCAAGACTTAATGAATCAGAAAATGTTCTATTTATTGACCAAGATCAAAACAAATGAACAGAAAAAAAGGGTTAAAACAAAAATAATCCTCAAAACCAATGACAACTCAAACTTTCACTGATATACTTAAGGRATTTGATGATGAAATGGAAAAAGGGATCCAAAGTACCGTTTGGTTAGCTCTGACTGAACACATTTCTGAAYGTGCATGCGTTTTCCCAGTGACTCCTAAGATATAGAAATTCCTCTGATATTACAAAATACAAAAATATTTTCTCCAAACTCTCATTTACATCGCATTTACAACAATCATGGAAATAACTTAGGCTCCCACACTGTCCAAGAGACAAATCACCTACCAACATGGCTAATGGAAAACAAAAATGTGGTGGAAAGCAAAAGCTACYGGCAAACTGATGCTGAGAGTCAACAGTGGCAACCAAAACGTAGAGACAAACAGAGCTCAAGGGGGTGGCAGTATCTGGGAGAAGGAAGAGAAACTACTGGGTAAATATTACAGGCTAAAGTGAACTTCTTAAATTTTTATCTCCAAAGTAAGATGTGCAAAATATATTCACTGTGCCCAGGATTATGACTATTTATAGAAGCCAGTCTACAACCTTCTTACAAATCCCTACTCTTCAGGCTTTTTTTTTTTTTTTTGTTACAATAAAAGCACTTACATGATCTAAAACAGTGCAAGATCGTGAGTTAATTTACATTCTCCCAAGGTGCCTGGCAAGGGTGCCATTAGGATATGATACAGTTTTTGCTCTTCTGTCTTTTCCGGCTGTGCAACTGTCCCCTGGCCCCCACSGTGGAGGATTTGGGCATGCTGTACGAGCCATACTTGTGCAGCAGCTCCTCGCTGGTCACGTACCGCAGGCGGGCGGGCTGCGGGATCGGCTCCCCGAGGAAATAGCCCTCGTTGTCGGACTCGGAAGAGGAGGAGCAGGTGGAGCACCAGTCGTATTCGGCAAAGTAGGGCCCCCATCTCTCGCCCAAGTGGTTCTGCAAGGCGAGATCCGACACCGTCCGGGGACAGTGGCCGTAGACGTCCCTGCGGGGACCCTGCTCCACGGGCTCCCTGCAGCTCCTCTGGTGCACGAAGGGGTCGTAGTCGTCCCTGGCTCGGAGCGAGGGTCTCTCCTTCAGGCGGTAGCACTGCTCGCTGGCCAGGTGCAGGGCGTTGTCGGAGCGGGAGCGCCGCGAGCGCCGGGGCCGGTGCGGGCGGTAGTGCCGGTCGTCGTCCCGCAGCGTGGTTCTCCGGCGCGTGCGCTCGCTCATCGGGGTGTGCCTGGGGATCTCCTGCGGCCCCAGCTGGCCCCCGGGCACCCCGCTGCCGTAGTCGAAGCTCTGGTGCATCCGCCCGTGCGACGGCCGCTCCCGGTAGCCGAGGGGGCTGGCGAGGTCGTGCAGGGTGGGCTCCATGTCCTGGTACTGCGGCACCGACAGCAGGCTGCGCACCGACTCGGCRCTGCGGAACTGCATCGACGAGTTCAGGGTGCCCATGTTGCTCATCTTCTCCGAGACGTTCATGCCTGAGTCTTTGCTCAGGTCAGGCATGGAGAACCTGGACAGGTGCTCCTGGCGCTTGGCTCCGCCGTCTGCTGAAAGGCCTTTGCGGGGAAAGGGCGAAGGAAAAARAAGAGTTAAGAATTTTCTGTCAGTGGAAATGTAAGGTGGAGGTTGGTTTTGGCCCAAGACTTTTGCTTTAAAAAGTATCTCAGTGGTTTTGATCCTGTCCTGAAGAGCCCTTTTTAAGAGGAGGGCTTTYATTTTTTTTTAAAGAGCAGACAGTTCCTCCTTTGGGGAAATCACACCAATTTAAGGTGTTTTGAGTTGGACTCCAAGCTGCTATTCACGACTTCCTTTCCCATATGTCTACACTGTCTGCGACTTGATAGGAATAACCAGCGATGCCAGGGAGAAATCATGCGTCAGAGGTAACCTGAGGCCTCCCGCACGCCGAGCWAACTAGGGTGCCATGATCCAGCACCCACACCTTCTGCAAGGACAACACATTTTGGGGACTAAACAATGTCGGGGCAGATAAAAACAGGGCCATTGACTTAATTCAGGGCTGTCACTATGTTGCACCTCACAGGTCCCCTGAATGACACCCATGGGGAGACCCAAGTTACAGTTGGGCTTCTCAAGACGCAAGGAAATAGCTGAGCTCCAGAGGGTGTGCTGGAGCTCCCTGTGAGCAGCAGGACAYTGGGAAGGTCAGGCTATGCCTGCAGATATCCAGGGAGCTGTGCATGGGCACGAGACTGAAACACAAGCTCCAGTTTGACTGGCTGTCCTGGTGGGGAGGTGACCCCTGGGTCTCTCCAATGTGCCAACCAGCCCTGAGCTCTGCAAGGGGCTTTCCTTCAGTGCAGGAAGCCTTCACCAGCAGCAGGGAAGAAGTGGGATGTCTGCTTAGCACCTGCCTGTCCAAAAACTCAACACACCCCACGGTGCCCTGGTCCTTGGCCTGTTTTCTGGGTGTTTCCGGACTATTTTCTGACTGTTGGCTTGACAACTGGCAGCAGTCAGTGGTTGCATTGCAAGCTCAGGACAAGATGTTTCACAAGTTATTTCWAAGGAAATGCATTTCATCCCAAATCAAACGCAGAGTGTTTGCTTTGGCGCCCTTCTCCCCGTCCCTCTCTGACAACCTCCCGGTGCAGACCCAACGCACAGAGCCSTGCACCATCAGCAGAATTTCCAACRTGACGCACAGCCTTTATGCAATCACCGAGAATTTATGGCTTTGYAAATTAATTAGGAAAAACAACAACCCAGCCCACAATTCAAGRATAAAGCTCTTTTTGCCTTAACAAAAGCTGCTTGCATTTCATCGAGAGCTCAGCTCCTTTGGCATTAGCTGCTGCTGCCAAACCTGGGCAAGGACAAGGGTTGCTGTCACTAACCCCATTCATGAGGTGCTTCAGGGTTTCCCTGGGCTCAGCCTTAAAAAGATCAACAGATCCTGCAAAGCTGGACAAGGTTTTCCAAACCCTGCCCTCAGTGGCACCAGGGAGAGCTTTAGCCACTCCTGACCTTCACGTGGTTTGATTTKGCTCCCTGAGTCCCAGTGCTGCAGACATTTTTTCCTGCTTCTTGGCCTTTCTGCTGTTAATGGGGATGTTTCTGATTACAGAGGAAAGTTGGGGAGTTATGTTACAGTTAATGTTACTGTTACAGTTACTGTTAATGTTACTAATGTTACAGTTATGTTACTGTTAATGGGGAGTTTATGATTACAGAGGAAAGTGAAGTGAATCCCTGATCACCACAGGAAGAGGGAGAGGCTGGGTTAAAAAGAAGGAAAATCCATGTTTTGTTTTGAAAAGGACACGCTTTTCAAGTCGACTTCACGCCTTCTTTTTTCTTCCCTAAGYCACGTTGGTTTTGAGTGAGCAAACCCAACCCTGCCCATTGACCTTTGGAAAAAACCCTGGATGGGCTTCCTGTCCCCTCTGAAGACCTGCCCACCCACACTCCACACTCCCATTATGTTTCTCCTCCTCGCTGGAGCTACGATCTTCTGCCTTTGAACCCAGTGATGACATTTGTCACATCAGGCACTGCTCTCCATGTCCCTCCTGTGGAGGAGCCCAGCAGCCCCTGGGGAGGGAGGAGCAACTCAGTAACATCAGCAAAACTTCCTGAGAAGCCAGAACAACAGCRGGACTGCTGGCAGAGCTGATCACAAGGAGAATCATTATTGTTGACAGCCCAATGTGGCCTTAATCAGATCTGTCAGACAATAGCTGACACTGAGRAAAATGAGCCCTCGGTGACACTTATGCAGCCCTTCGTTAAGGCAGCCAGAACAGCTCTGTGGTAAGAATGAGCAACAGGAACGCTGCGCAGAAATGCAGCTGCAACACCACAGGATCCTTCTGTGGCATCAACAGATGGATTTTAGCAGCATCATTACAAAGGGGCTGACCTTGTCCCACTCTCAGGGGTGTAGGGTGAGCTGGTGCTTGCAAAGAGGAGGGAACACATTATTCTCCAGGTCTGCTGACTCCGCAAGGAGAGTTTCAGCCTGGAGAAGAAGAAAACTCTTCCATTGTAACAGAGCAGAGGGTGACGGGGGCAGGCTCTGGCACTGGAGGGTTTCCCTGGCACCCAAAGGCAGTAGGTGCCCAGGCACACACAGGGTATCTCTGGGCTCCTGGATGGGGCAAAGGTGGCACCAACCCTCGTCTCCTGAGGTCTCTGCCATTCCAGAGCTACACCCATGCACAAGGCCCCATCTTCTTGAGTTACCAGCATTCATTTACAGCTGCTGCAGTCCCTCTTAATGAAGTGTTTATCTGGGAACACAGCTAAAAACCCAGGAGAGCCTCAGGCTGGAAGAGCACTTGAGGGGACACCCCACAATGCAGCCCTGACTTTCTCCTGACAAAGAAACCTGAGGATCTGTTTCCCAAGSCCATCCAAGGGAGCAGCAGCCCTGCTCTGGCCCGTGGCATGGGATGGTTGTTACCACATCACCAAGACCATTSTAAGGGTGCAAACCCATGGGTAAAGTGCTGACCCCACCAGAATTTCCTCTGCACAATGCTCTGAGACATGGAGCATATTCAATATTGGCTGCCCTAGATGCTCATGCCCTGGAAGAGGAGAGATGTCACCRCTGCCTCCAGTGCGATGCTTCGGCCAGTGACTGTCCTGGAGCCAGACTGCTGCCAGCACTGTGGTACACGTGGACACAGCAGGATTTTCTGCTGCTGCTCTCCACTGCATGGGGCTGCCAGGCTCAATATTTCACCCTGGAGCCATGGAAACGCACGCTTTTCCAATGAGTGCAAGGGAAAACTGCAGATGCAGTAGTGGAGCTGGCTGCAGCACCGAGAAAACCAAGCAGGGTTCTGGTTAACACTCAGGTTCACTAAAAACACACTGCACCATCCCCTGTGAAATCCTTCCCCACCCTGCTGAGAACCACGTCTATCCCATAAACACTGCCAAGGGAAATAACACCGCAGTGAAGGTACCCCTTGTGAACATCACCTCTACAACCTCGCCACAACAAAGCCCTCAGAGGCGCTTACATCCCACCGTGTGCTTTGCTAAACCGGGGCTGCAAGTTGCATTAATTAGGAATTATTAAAGAACTCAGCAAATGACAGCAGAGGAGCTATGGACACACAGGAGGGGACAGCATGGCATCCCTGTGCCACAGCCTTCCCTCTCACACAGCACCAGTCACCCTCACCACCCCTCAAACAGGGTTTATTTCAAGGTCAATCCCTAGAACTGAAAAGAAACTTAAGGAGAAACAGCCTGCACAGAGCTTTGTTTATAGCTCAGCCCCGTCTCACTTCTGAGCGACCTCGGGGCGTGCAGAAATAAAGCAGAACCTTTATGTAACTGGAAATCATGGAAAATAAACGACTTGGGGAAAGGCAGAGCCCCCATCGAGTGGRTCACAGTCCCAACAGCCTCCCACAGTGTGCCCCATGTGCGACCCATGGGTGTCACTGGGTATTTCCCAYCCATCACTCCTTTCCAGCTTGGTCAAACAAATCCCTATGTGTGGGTGCTGCCTGGAAAAAGGTTGGATTTTACCCCAGAAGATCCCCTACAGCTCCTCYACAAGCACTCCCATCTCCTTCACCCTCCCCAGCTGATGGCCAACAAGCCACCTTGGGGATGATGTGCTATTGCTTCCCCTGACATCTCCTTCCAGAAGTCCATCTGGGTTCTCCCTCTGGTTTGCATTACCCCACACGCTCTGCACTGTCCATATGTGACACTGAAGGGGTGAAGACATGCATGAGTCTGGCCCCCACAGCAGGCACACCAAACCTCCCACTGTTGAGTGGCAAAAGGCAAGTGAGGGGGAGAAGAAATGCTCCTGACAGTTTTACAGTRTTTTGGCATTGGGCCTTTGTGGTGGAAAACCTTAATCTTCACATTGGTTTTGAAATTGTCTGGCTTGGATTAGGGAGTGTTATACCTGTGTCTCAAAATTGCAAGAATTCCCCCCAGGGATCTTATCTTCCAGCTTGGAAGCAGATTTGTGCTGGCTGTGTCTGGGGGAAAGAGAGTGATAAGAACATGGTGGGGAGCTGGGAGCCTCCTTTTTTTTTTTCCTTAAAAAAGTCAGGTACAGCCAATGTGTCATTTTCTGGATTACATAACTCAGCTGGAGCACTTGGGGCAACCACCCTCTCCAGCCCAGGGGACAGAGGAGCAGTGGGATGCAGTGCTACTGAGCACATGGGGAGGGGGACCAGCATCCAGACACYCCACTGCCATCCCTGAGGGGGTTCAGGAGCTGCTCCCAAGCCCCCAGTGCAGRAGAGGCTGGGTCAATTAATGTCTCTCCAGAAAATATAACCCTGGCCCTGAGCCAGGGCTTGTTCTTACCCTCACCTGCCCAGCAGCTTTTATCTCCACCTCAGGCAGAGGAAGAAAAGGGACCTGGAGACAGATGATGCTGTCAGGGCACYGCAGCTCAGACATGCAGGGATCAGCCCTGTTCTCTCTGCTTTCTGGCTGTATCACAGTTTTTCTCCAGTCCTGGAAAAACAAACTATTTGGGGCCTTTGGGCATCTCACAACACAGATGAGAGGAGCAGTGTGTGCCATTCAAATGAAATCACATTCCACCTTGTAACAGCACCAGTTTAACACATTGTTAGATTGGATTTATGCCTGTGACAGAYGTGGTTGTTCCCCTCACCCAAACTCATTTTCTCAAGGAATCCTTAAAATCTGTTTCTCCTTTTGCATTCAACGTGACTCCTACCTCCAAAGGGCTCCTGCTCTCTGCAAGCAGCAGACAAAGAGACTGCTCCCAGAGAACAACATTTAGCCTGCAGGTACTTTCTTTATTGGGCTATTTGACCAGCTGGCGTTTTGTGGAAATAACTGCTTGGAWTCAGCAGAGATCAGCTCTTGATTTCTAATTCCACTGCCAGGCACATGGAGCGACTGCAAAACCTTTYTAGAGGGAAACACAAACACAGGGAGCAGGGCTGATGGACCAAGTATCTTCTGCAAAGTGATTAACCTCTAGTAGGATCAGGCTTCTCATCATGAACAAAGCTTCCTGRACAAATTCCATCTTAGCATCTCCTGATAGCTTAATGCAGGGAGCTACAAGGCAAATTTGCTACAAGATCCACTGTTTTTTGTTCTTGTTACTGCCATGAAAAGAAAAACAAAACAACACCAAAAACCGCAAAGGGAGACAAAGGAAGTACAATATCAAAGATAATATAAAATAAAATCAGCAAAAATTAGCTCTATCTTGGAAAACAGGCTGAGAAATWTTGTTTCCTTTTTGCTTCTCCATCTAAYGGGCATGCAGTGCAGRAGAAGGACACAGCCTCCAAGAAGCWGTAGCAGCTTGGGGTCTGCTGTAGCYTTCAGYTGAGGGCAGAACAGGGATTTTCAAMTAGAGACACRGAAAGGAAGCAGAGATGCCCTCCACCAGCAGGAGACTCTGCCCTTTGCCAGCGGATGTGCTTAAATCACACCAGCACAACCCAGAAGACAGCAGAGACACTCCCACCCAATTCACCCCCCTGCCAAGGAGCACAAGGAGGGTCACAGACACCTCTGCCATTCCTGTCCCTGCTGGTGGYGACAGCAGAGCACAGCCCAGCCCTGTCAGGGCACGAGCCCAGGATTAACCTGGTGTCTCACCTCTCCACTAACCCGGGAGGAATTGGCTTTAAAGCGATTAAACAGAGCCTTTTGGTRAGGTAGAAACCTGGGGTCTTGCAGGAGATTGGGGTCACGTAGATCTTGACCCACACAATGGCTGACCCCGAAATATTACAGGGAACAACATCTGCTCACGGCAGGGAGCTTTCCGGCCRAAGGACAGGGATTAGCGCTGCACAGCCCCTCAGTTATCTGCATTACTGACTGTCTCCGGCTAATTAGCAGTTAAGCCATAAGAGAAACATCACAGCAAAATCTGCTGCCAGGGAGGTACCAGCTTTTAACATGTGCTCTGCAGGTCAGGGTCTGTTTGCCCTTCAGCTCCTATAAAAAACAGAATGTTTTAGYGATGCCATAAAACCTGAGATGGATGTGGTGTTAATTATTTCACTTTATAAGGTGGAGAAACTGCGCAGCTTCGGTAGCTCCAAGGGATTTTGTATGTGGATGCCTGGGAGCTTCTGGCAAAGCAGAACTGGAGGATGTGGGGTGGAGGATGTGGCGTGAGCCAGACCCCCAGGCTGTGTTTTGGGGGAGCTCTGTGGGTTGCTTGCTGGGCAGCTTGCGGGGCCACAGCAGGGAGTGCAGGGATGGGAAAAGCCAGGCAGCAGGGTGCTGTGCCCTGACATCACCTGCCCAAAAACCTGCTCCCCCACAGACCTCCCCCAGGTCACCGAATCTCCCTGTCCTCAAAACGCTGCCAATTAAACAGGATGATAATTGTGTCCTCCATAATTGCAGACATGGCCCTGGGGGAGCTGCCTGTTGCTGCTGCAGTGCCCCCAGCTCAGCTGAGACAGCTCCCAGAGCAARGAAAATTATTAGAACCTTACATATTAATAAAAATGTTATCACCTCACTCTGCAGAGATTCCTCTGCAGTGAACACTCACTGCAAGCCCCATCACGCTGAGCATCTGCTCCAGAAGGCAGGAAAGCAGCGAGCCATTAAGGCAGGCACTGCCCCTAAGGAAACTCAGACTCWGGCTCTGTAGGGAGGATGGATGCCTTTGGGAGGTCTCCCTCCCAGCATTTTAAAATGGGATTTTTAAAGTAAAAGGCAGAATGATTTTCACTTTAATACTCARGCCTTGCCACATTTTCTGTCTCTTGACCTATATCCCCAATTATTTGTTACACTTCAGCTCCAAAGCATGCAACAACCCCTCCACCGCTCAGGGATTGCTCATCCAAGCTTGGTGTTGCTCAAGACTCTTTGTACTGATGGGGTTTACACAACACAAGTTTTCAGGAACACAAAAGGCCTTGGAAACGTGGAGCTTCGCTTGAGGAAATGCTGTTTTGAGAGCGATTCCCAATTCCCTTGCTATTTCACATCTATTTCTCCTCTGTGCATATCTGAGGCTGTTTAAGCAAAACCCYTGCCAGCTCATTAGCTTCTCCTCTCCCCCTACTTTTCCACTTGCTGGATAGGGAGATCCTRACTGAAACAGAGATCATTTCACATCTTGGCACGGGGTTGGCAGCTTTCCTAAACAAACACACCAAACCCCGGGTGCGGGTGAGGAGGCACGGGGCGTAGCAGAGCAAACCTGCCCATCCAGGCAGGGAACAGCTCAAAACTGGGATTCAGGGGGGCTCAGCTCTCTGTGGGCTCAGCAATCCTCATCCCCCAGCACCAGCATCCTGTGGGGACCCTCAGAACTGGGTACAAACACCCCACWGGCCACTCCCTGCCCRAGACAGAAGGGCTCCATTTCGCAGRGGCTGAGACACAGGACCTGCCCAAATCCAAGCAACACTGGCCTGGAACACAGAAAAGCCAGGGGAGGCGCAAAGGAAAAGCAAAGCAGTTTGTCTGGTGAGCAAACCAGGCTCAGGATCCCCTTTTCTGGGAAGTTTTGTGCTTCAAGAGCAGCTGTGGTGGTGAGAAGAGCAGCAAGGACGGAGCCTGCCCAGCGCTGGCTGCGGACAGAGCCCCACGCAGACGCGTTTGTGCATGCACACCCATCCCCACAGCCACGGGTGAAACCCAAACATGTTTGGGGTGAGAGGACTGGGAAATATGACCCTGGGATGTGCTCGTGAGAAACGAGCTCAGCCTGATGGGACAAGCATCTTGCTTGGATTTTCCCTACAGTTTCTACCAAGGGTCTGGGGAAGAGGAATTAAAGAGCTGTGCATAGAGGGGGAGGAATTTCCTTCAACTAGTCGTGCTTGAGAACTGCAAAACATTCAAAAGGGGYTAACTGGGCCCGTTTCAAAGCATTTAAAATATTTTTAGCCCGCAAGGGCAGCTGACAGCAGTCCTTCAAGAACTGAAGGCTGGAATCTGCCTCTCTCTTAGCAGCTGGCCTTGATTTTCCCCCTCTCTTCACAAAAGGGAGGATTAAAAAGCTTGCAAACATTTGTTTTGAGCTGCACAGAAAGGCCAGCCATCTATAAAACCCTGCATTTGGTAAACAAGCAAGCAAAGGGAAAAGGACTGCCAGGCTCATCAGGACCAGGCAGACAAGCTGTGTCACCGAGCGGTGTCCCCAAGCTGTTGGTCACCCCCGTACTGGGAAGACACCAGAACACAAGGGGCTCAATTGCATGGAGGGCATGCAGGGGTGGTCTCAGGGTGGCAGGGGTGCCATACCTGTGGCGTTGGAGAGCGCCAGGGACTCCATGGAGCCCCGGGGAGTCTGCTCGGTGGGCGTCAGGTCCTCGCTGAATTTCAGGGCGTTGATGGGGTGACGGGTGCGGCACTGCGGYGTCGGCATCCCTCCCTCCTCTTCCTCTTCGTACTTGGGGACTTTGACACTTCCTCTGCTCTCGGGGAAGCTCTGGTTGGACATGTCACTGTAGCTCTCCTGCGAGCGGAGCCTCCCCGAGTAGTAGTCCTCTCTGCAGTCCTGGATGAAGCTGCCGCCGTGGCTCTTCATGGCCAGCGAGGAGCTCCTCTTTTGGTTGCTGAAATGTTTCGCCCATAAATCCGACTGCGAGCTYGGGACCTGGGTGGGGTTATAGGAGGTTCTTATGTTGCACTGGCTGAGAAGCTGCAAGGGGGTTTGGGACTGGCTTTGCTCCATTTTGCCCCCGTAGTGATAGAGCTCRTCCCGGCTCCTCCACAAGTGGTCCCTGTTGAGGCTGGGTGTCTGGCTGGCCAGGCTCAGCAGGTCCATCTGCAGGGACAGAGGGTCCACGTCGGTGGAGAGGCGGTTGGAGGTGACCTGCAGCTGGTTGCAGGGGCTACGTGCCCCCTCATCTCCCTTGCCCTTGTTCTTGCCGATCTTGGCGCTGCGGCGCGATTCCTTGGCTCGCGCGCTCTGGAAAGCCGAGTCGGARGAGTCGGAGCCRTTGGGGTCGTCGCCGATGCTGCAGGCCCTGGAGCAGAAGATCTGCCCCTGCTTGGGCAGGAAGGGCCGTCCCAGCAGGGATTTCTTGCACTGGGCACAGCAGAAGCAGGTCTCGGTGGCGTGCCAGTGCTGCCCATCRTACGTCATCTGGCCCTGGTCAATACCTTGAGGGGGAACATGAACAGCGTCAGGGTCAACTAATGCTGCATTTAACACCTGCACCAAAGGCAGGCTGGATGGGCTTCTGAGCAGCCTGYTCTAGTGGAACACATCCCTGCCCGTGGTGGGGGGTTGGAATGAGATGACCTTTAAGGTCCCTTCCAACCCAAACCATCCTATGACTCTGTGATCCCCCATGAGTGACATGCACTCRGCCTTGCTCGTGAAAGCTCTTTTTCAGGGTTCCTCTTATGCATGAAGCTAATCCCATTTTTAATTCCTCCCAATTCTAATTCCAKGCCTTTGCTTGGGAGTTACTCAGGGTTGGGAAAGGCAGCAGAACCATGCCCCAGGCTATTCTGTATTAAATGGGGATATTTCCGATCATAAAGCAAAGGAATGCAAGAAGTTCTCCATAAAGTCCTTGAAGTAAAAGCAATAATATGCTGCCTATTAAAAAAAAAAAAAAAAGCCTCCAACTGAACCATAATGAGGAATTTGTGCTGCCTTGGTTAAGCATGCAACAGAGCAGATGACATCCCTGTCCCTTGCTGCTCCTGTGGTCCCATCCTAACTTTATTTTGGCTTCTGGGGCTGCTGATCCAAAAGAGCATGGAAAGAGCTGGCCCCAGGGGCTGGGCACACACCCTTGCCTTGCACCCAGCCACATTTTCTGGGATGCTTCACCAGCCCCCATTGGGTTCAGTAAAGGAATTGCTGCAGMCAGCCTGTCCCCCACCAGCCAAACCCCAGGGAGCAGTGTCTGCACAGCAGTGTCAATCACAGCAAAACTCYTGGGGTTTCAATTAAAACATTTGCACACTCGCTGAAGCTGCTGTTCCTGGCCAAAGCCCTCGTTAGCTGAGAAACTGCCCCCCACATGTGCCTGCACASCCACAGCGGGGCCAAGGGCTGCCAGGTAACTTATAAATGAGCACTGTGTTAATGGTCTGTTTTATTCCAAGCTGAATCAGGTTTAATATAAGTGGTTCTTTCCTCCTCTTACACTAAGCAAAATGCTTTTGTACAGATGGGAGCGCTACATTTGTGGGCACCAGAGACAAAAGATGGTGGGTGGGATTTTATCAGCTCCTTTCCTGCTGCCCAAAGACACCTTGCAGAGGAGCCTCTTTACTCCATCCTCACCCACCCAACCCAAGCTTTACCAGTCTTAATCACAAGCTTACCTCTGATTTATGTAGGCACAGAGCTCAGTTCACTACTACGAGCGACTTGGTAGCAAAATGGTTGCAGTCCCTCCTCTGCTAGAAATGTGCAAATATGCACCAAAGCAGACATTTTACTCTRAAAACCTGACAGTCAGCAGGCTGCAGCTGGCCAGTTGGGGTGAAGGACAGCAGATGGGGGAAGTACAAGAGAAGTACAGCATTAACAGCTGCTTCTTCACCATTCTGCAGCTGAGCTTTTGGGAAGGATGTGCTGCAGGTCACAGCAGATGCATCCTCCAAGTGCTTTGCTGAAACCCTGAGTTTCCCCTCCCTGTGCCATCTGGCTGCTGCACTAGAGCAAAATTGTGGTTTTTTTTTTTTCTTTCCCTGCAGCCTATGAAATATTTGAACACGTGAGCTCACCTCCACGGACAAAGGAAGGGCTGTCTGCACGCTCACGGTGCTCAGCCAAGTGGCAAAGGGGGCTGRGRAGAGCAGCAAGGTGCTTCCCAGCCMACCCAGCCTGAGGACAGCTGCCCYCAGAATGAAGTGCATCTCAAATCACTGCTCTAGAAACATAAATTGACCCTGATGCCTTATTTCTTTYTGTCTGAGAACATCTATCTGCAAGTTGATTAAAAAAGGCTCAGAAACAATAATGATGCCTAATGAACAAGCATCTTTTCTGACAGTAGCTCATCAAATCATGTGATCCTTTGGCAAGCCTGGATGGGAAAAATCTGAGTCGAAGAGACAGGCTGTTTACAGGAAAATGAGATTTAAAGGAAAAAAGCCATGCCAGATAAATTTTATTATGCCAGAGAAAGCTTTCACTAGCTGCCATTGCTCCTGAGGTTGCCCTCTGCTAATCCTCCCCTCTCTGACTACAAAAAGGGATAAACAGTGGTTTAACCAAACAAATCACCATGTTACCTCCTTGGTGGGATGGGAGAGAGCCATGAGCACAGGTGGTTGCCCCATAAGCCACAGGGCTGTCAGGACAAGGAGCCACAAGGACCACCACGTACCGATGTGCTGGGCGCAGGTGTCGCAGTACTCGGCGTACAGGGACTCGAAGCAGCTGCAGCAGTAGGGCCGCCCGTCCTTCATGATGTAGCGCTGCCCCCCCAGCACYGTCTCACACTCGAAGCAGCAGAAATGTTTCATGTGCCAGTGCCGCCCTTCAGCTTCGGTGCACTCATCGGCAAAAATGATCTGGGGGAAGAGATACGAGCATAGGGCGGAGCTGGCAGAAAAGGGAGTGGGATGTGGACACCAATCTTCGTGTCTCCTGCCCATGCATGGCAGCTGTGCCCCTTTATTTGTGCAACCTCTGAATTTTACAGCTAAATACCCCCAGCCCTGCTTGGGAAACTCCCGTGGTTCGGTTTGTGGCAGGGCACCCATCATTTCCCAGGAAAATCCATTAAAATGCAAATTCCTCGGGAGTGTTAGTGCCCAGACTGCGAAGTGTTAAGGCAGAGCTGCAGTAATGTGCTAGTAAGCTCATCCATCAACTGGAAAGGTCGATCAGGGTAATAAACACACTTATATACAACCTATCGATCTGGTGGACTTGAGAAGAACAGAGCAGCCACTTACTGGAACACATTTACCCATCTCTGAAACAGGGACCTGAGCACAAAGGATGAGCAGAAACACAGGGAGAAGTGGCAGCTCTCTGGAGAGGAGAGAAGAGGGAGCTACCTGACTCCTCACCTCATTGCTACCCCTGGGTGCTCATAAAGGTGACTGCAGTCTTTATACCATGGGGAAACTGGGGCACAGAGGGCTGTTAAGGATGGGCTGCTTCCTGGTTCTCTGCCTTGGCACAGTGTACACCAAAAGCTTCCCCTGCAGCTCCTCCTACTCCTGAATTACTGTTTCTCACAATTAACACTTGATGTTTTAGGGGAAGAAAAGCATGCCGAAGAATGAGCTGAATGAAAGACTTAAATGAGAATTTGCAGGAATAAAAAGGACATGAAAAAAAATTACCCAGCCTAAGCCACAAAGAAATAGAGCCAGTTGAATGGTATGGGATTGTWTCTTACTGGTAATGCTACAAATTTAATTGGACACATACATCAATGCTCTTTATATGTGAAGTGCATATAGCCTTGGATATTTACTATTACACGCTTGCAAAGATGGGAAGTGGTATTTCACAGTACATACAGTTTTCCACGCTACAGTTTTCATAACTTTAAAAAGCAGAGCAATTTCCTTCACCAACCCTTTAAACAGAGATTGACACTTGAGAAGTGCTCAGAGGCGACTCTTTGCCATATCCTATATTGGTTTTACATTCTATTTGTTCAGCCTCTCTCAAAGCCTATTTCAGCTTGGCATGTACTCAGACACAACCAACTTGTAAGAAACACAGCACTCATCCTACCAGGGGCTTCTTCTGGGGGATTGGAGGAGAAGGGAGGATCACCAGCTTGGCTAAAATCACAGCACGGGGACTGTGCTTCTACTGAGAACACTCATGGAACCCTCCTTCAGCTTCCTGAGTGTAGATGACATTCTAACTCACAACAGTTCTAGACAACTGCAATGAAGAATACCTGACACCTCAGGAAAAGCTTATTTGAACCCTTGGCAAAGCCAAGCTATCAGATTTGGTGTGCATGCCTTCATGGAAAAGTCAGGGATGGAGGGAAATGCCACCCAACCCTCCTGGGCAGCAGCACTTGAGGCAGATGCCGGCTCTTACCTCGTCACACGCAGCACAGCGGGGCTTGAGGCACTCGGCRTGGTGCCTGCCACAGTAGATCTTCCCATCCTGGTAGAAGTAGATCAGGTCAACCAGCAGCTCRTTGCAGACACTGCAGATGAAGCAAGGAGGGTGCCAGCAGACGCCGTGCCCYGCTCGCGAGGCGAAGACGGCCATGTCCCCTCCATTGATCTGGCCGCCACACTGTCGGAAAAAACGGGGATTAACGGGGGTGTGGGTGACCCCACTGCCACCCATCACCAACCTGCTGCTCTCACAGCCACTCCCCTGCACAATGCCAGGAGCTGAAGTGACAACTCCATGTCAAACACCTTGAAATGTGCCCTGACAGACCCCAGTGATTACACCTGGCCGGGTCATGCGCATGGGCTTGTCCTGCAAGCTTCAGAACATCACAGAATGGTGTGAGTCGGAAGGGACCTGAAGATCAACAGTCCCAGCCCTCCTGCCATGGGCAGGAACACCTTCCATTAGACCAGGCTCCTCATCCAACCTGGCTTTGAACACCTGCAGAGATGAGGCAGCCACAATTTCCCCAGGCAACTTGTGTCAGAGCCTCACCACCCTCACAGTGAATCTAATATCAAATCTAAACGTGCCGTCTGTAAATTGAAAGCCATTTCCATAATCACTATGTAAATCACTGGTAAATAGTCCCTCTCCAGCTCTCTTACAGCCCCTTTAGGTACTGGAAAGGTGTTTAAGGTCTCCCCCGAGCCTTCTCTTCTCCAGATTGAACAGCCTGACCTCKGTAAGGCTGTCTTCACAGGAGAGATGCTTCCCGGGTGATGCAGGTACCAGTTCATCAGCCGTTACCCACCTGCTCACAGATAGCTCCTGTCATGGTTACAGGGAATGGCCGAACATTGCCTCTCCCCAGATTTTCCCTCTTCCTCTGGTTGCTGAAGAGTTTGAGCTCCCTCTTCTCCTCCTCATCCAACGAGTTGCARTAGCGGACCTAAAAAACACAAGTGATGCTCAGTGCCTGGGGTGTCCTTGGCTCCCTGGCCAGCGTGGAACAGCCCCATAGGTGCTGCAAACCTCTGCGTGGGGGTTTTTTTATCAGGGCTCCCCTTGGCTCAGGGAGGCTGCAGAAATGCAGGTATCTGGGCTTCAGCCTTCTGCGGTTTGGTCAAAATCTCAAAAGCTAGAGATGAGAAGAAAGAGGAAGAGGAAGGTTGCTCTTTGACTGCTCAATTTGTAGAAAAGTCTGAAAAGTTGGGTTCTCAGAGTCCCACCCAGACCAACGACTGGACTGATGGTTTCCCTACTTTCTCCATTCCCCTTCTGTAGCAGAGATCTTCATAACATTCCACTGGCATTTCTAGAGCACAGACCCTTTTCCCTACACAAATGACTGCTCCAGTGATTTGTGAACTATTCTAGCACAGGGTCAAGCCTGTGCATTTGCAAAACCTTTGCACTGGAATGCAACAAGGAAATAAMATAAAAGGATCCAAACAATGAATGATGCAATTTCCCTGAAGCTTATAAAACTCTGAGGTTTTCCTGGCCATTTCCATCCTGCAGGCTTAGTTCTCAGCTGGTTGCATTTCAATGGGGAATACAACTGAAGAGCCAGGGAGGTCAAATGTAGCACCAGAGCCCAATCCACCCTCATTATATGGGAGAGCTGGCTCATGGAATCGAGCAGGGTTATTTCAAACAAGCAACCAACACACCTTGAATGTCCAAAGGAACAAAACTGAGCATGAATGGAAACYGGATGCAAAATCTGCCAGTTTGCAGAAAATACACACAGACGCGCGCGGCTAACTTGCAGCAACACAGGCTGCAGTAGCAGTATTTGTGTGTATTTATTCTCAGGTTTTTTGGCTGTCAGAGCCTGTGGGTTTCCAGCAGCTGCCAGGGAAGCAGGCAGGCAGGTTGAGGCCCAAGGGTGTATGGGAGGAAGCCCCTTCCTTGTGCCTGGAGCTCCCCCCATGCTGACAGCRCTGTGCCCGTGGCACCCAGCCACACGCAGGCAAACTTGTTAAAATCTCACCGAGATCAAACAAGTTACCTACATGTATTTTCCAGAGCGGCTTCTTCAGAAAGTGGCATGAAAATAATTCTTTTTGTTTACACAAGGAAATTTTGCGGGTTGCCAGAAGCCAGTGTTCTCACTGGTGAGATCAGGACGTCAGAGACCAGACCCTTTTTGCTGCCTCACATCATTCTTGCGAGATGTCAGAAGGTTTATTTTGCTCTGACTGGGTTTGACTCAACCTGTGGCTTGCCAGGCTCTCCCAGCTCATGAGGCTCAGCCCCAGTGAAGCCCCTCCTCAGCACACTCATTCCCACTCCCATGGTAAGCCAGAAGCAGCACCTGGGAAAAGGCTTTTGCAACTTTGGATCTGTCTCGAGATAATCTCAACAGCATTCCAAGCCACTTTTAACGGAGCCTTGGCCTCCAAGGGCTGAGAAAATGCTTTTATTTCAGACAACTSAAGAAAGATGATTTAAAAAATTTTAACTTTAAAAAACAAACAAATCCCCACCTCCAACAATCAAAGCAGGGAGTAAATAGATCAATTTACACAGCAAGATGACCAAAATTCAAGTAAATCCCCCTGAGAAGCAGAAAGAGTTGAGAAAGGAAAGCCACGCTTGCCGCAAGCAACCCCAGGAGGAGCATCCACTCCCCACCCGCAGCCCTGCTGATGTCCAAGGACATTTTCTGGATACTGACCTCATTGTCATGCGGTGGCAGCTGGTGAAGAAGTTGCTTTATGCGAGATTTCTCTCCCGGGCTGTTGACATAGGGAACCTTGTCCTCGGGCAGGCAGCTGTAGTACTGGTGCACCTAGGGAGCAAGAGAGGGGTCTGCAGTGGGGTTCCCTGGCCAAGCCCATGTCCCCGCGCCCGGCCAGCGGCCACCCCCTGAGGCAGCACACGCTGGGTCTTCCCAAAGATCCTGAGCATGGAAGCACAGGCAGGAACTGCTCCAGGTTTGCTGTCCTTCGTCCTCCGAGGACGAGGGGCGGCGGGGTGGGCGCGTTACCGTTTGCTCCGTCAGCCTCCATAGTGTGAGCATTGCGCCGGCTGCGGGGATGTGTCGGCACCTGCCTCGGCAGCGAGGTTAAAGAGGCTGCGCCCCGGCAGTCTCCGTGTTGCCGGCTATCTCAGCCTCCACCTCCATCAAACCCCTCCGGGCTTTTTTCTGCAGCAATTTGTGGAAATAAACAGCAGATAAAATCTGTTGGAAGGCTTAGGTTTTTTTMTTTTTCTCTTTCGTCTCGGAGCGTGTAATTAAAATCAGCTATTAAAAAGGCTGGGGAACGGCGTGCCCGGCGCTGGGAGYGCAGCGCAGCCCGGAGAGGAAGCACACCCTGAACCCCAGCGTCTCTGCTCCGACTGCCACACCTGGGATGTGCACTCGAGGGCCGGGCCAGCACCAGGAGAGGACTCACCGCCGCTCGAAACAGCCACAGTGATGGTGATGGCTTGGGAAGAACAAGGAGAAGGTAAAGGTAAGGGAAAGCTCAGCTGGGACTGGGATTCTCTGCAGCCCCAGATGCYTCTGGATGCTCGGGAGGGAGCAGAGGGCTGGCTGGCTTCCTTAAATCTGTGCTTGGCTAGAGAGATGCAGGCTGCTCTCCCAGTGTGTACAGCTTTCTGCCTTTGCCACGGTGGGATTAGCCTCGAGATGCTCCCTCAGCTATCTACAATTCATTTTGGAGTGGCTGCGCTGCCTGCAGCTTACACAGGGTTTTTCCCAAATGACACTTCCTTTCCAGCGGCTTCTGACCAGCTTTTTCCCTCGCTGTATGCTTTGGACTTTGGCCTAGAGAGCACCACCTGGTCCAGCTCTCTCCAGAGAAGCCCTCCCTGCCTGCACAGCCCACAGCATCTGTGGGTCACTGGGAGGGCTGGGGACACGAGCTGGTCACACAGGCCTGGCTGGCAGGGGAGCTCACTCATGGGCTCGCAGGCTGACGGGGGTGGCTCTTATGCAATTATCTTCTACACAAAGAAATACCCTTTTATTCCAGAATAACTATCTAAACCTAGCTTTATTCAGGAATAATTGCTYTGCATTCATCTCACTCCCTGCTCTCAATCAGAACTACCTGCGAGCAAGAGCTGCTCCAGTGATTTTCTCAATTTATGGTTCCTCCCCAAACCGATGTCACYATCCCCCTTTCCCCATCATCAGGTTTTCCAGAAAGGGAGATTTTTAGCAGATTTCCACACGCAACTCCGCAGCGCTGATGACAAGGGAACTGCTCATGTCACAAAGCCGAGGAACACACTGAGCATATGCCACTGCAAAACCCTAAATTTGTTTTGCTAAGGCACAGCAGAAACAAACCCACCAGCTATGGAAACTGTCAAAGAAAGAATGGCTGCGAAGTATTTTGTTATGTTAAAAAGAAAACAAACTACGTACATTAGAATACTTACTTTGCATTTATAGAGCATCCTTCGTGCASGGACATCAAAGCACATTAAAAATACCGAAATTCTTACGACGTGCTACATGAGGTAGCAGATACACACACTGCAAAGGACCAGCTGCAGCATCACAATGTTAAATGAGCTCCCTGAGTTCATGCAGCAAGTCTGTAGCAGAGTTTKCAGTTGAAAATCTCCCAGTGATGCCCCAGCAGCCGCACCATTCCGTTTCCTGAGCTCCAGCTTCCACACTGCCCGGCACACGCTCCTGCAGGCTTCTCCTGCCAAATTCCCCACATGCACACAGGCTGCGCCCTGCACTCACATTGGTTAGCTTGTGTTTTGATTTCTTGCAGTGAAGTTTTTTTGCCCACCCAGTCCTTGAAGTTGAGAGACCATAAATTACTTTTTTTTTTTTTTTATGAAGAGCTGCCAAATGCCTAAGCAATGAGCCCCAAGACGCTCACCCTGGGCAAAAATGAAGGATGGAAGCTCTTCCTTCAGCTGCCAGGGTGCTGCCTTCCCGGAGCCCAATCCAGCRGGATGTACGTGCCCAGCTCCATTCCTGCTTCCGCTGGGAAGTTTTCCATTTATTCTCAGCAGGTCTGCAGGAACTGGTTCCCATCACACCAGCAACATAGCTTGGCAGGGATGGGCAATTTGGTTTGAGAAGCAAAACAAAATAAACACAACAGGCTCTAACCTGTGTTCTGTTGCCTGAAATAACCTGAAAGGGTTTGCTTTGGATCTGCATCAGCCAAGGGGTGCAGGGGTGCTTATGGAGAGAATGGAGCAGGGGCAGCTGCCAATCCTTGTCCAGTGCTTGAGGAACATCTTCTGGGGAGAAAATCATTACACCTGCCAAGGGCTTCCTCCAGCCACCATCCCCTCCTCATGAGGAAAAACTCATACCAGAGGGATGCACAGATCCTTTTWCCTGGGACATCACTCCCATCCCAAGAGATCCATCCAGAGGGTAGATGAAGAGCTGAAGGACGCCCCTTGTCCAGGCTGATATTAAGCCAGGCTTGTGCTACAGAACTGTCATTCATCACCCATCCCCATGGCTTGAGCCCAGCCCCCTGGATGGGAGACCCAGCCCTGGGAGGAACAGGGTCACAGGCTGGCAGTGTCCCCACCTCTGTGCTCAGCTGGCTGCCAACAGCATTTCTGACCCAGTGGGAGCAGCTGGGCTGGCATTTGCCTGTGGGATGCTCAGAAAKAAAGAAGGAAAAGAARATTCTTAGATCCATCTGGCTTTTAAGGAATAAGCCTGCAGAAAACATTAACTTGCTGGAAAACGAGAACTGCTCAGTCTGCACTTTGTTTTTGTACAAAAGGTCACTGTTTCATGCTAAAGTAACTCCTCCTCCATCCAGMAGCACACATAAGCCTTGTAGCTGGTGAGCCTTGCAAGGCCAGAGCCAGACCCCACACGTGCTCCTCACTGCTCTTACAGGCTCTGCAATTTGAGTTGCACCCAGATAAGGACAACAGTGCGGGCAGTGACCCTGGAGAGATAACATTTCCCCTTTAAACCATGCAGGATCTGTAACTGTTTTATTATTAAATATTTCTGCTGTACAGCACAGCAGCTCTGAGTCCTCCTGTTTCCTCTCAGAACAGATCYSCTCTGCCCACRTTAYCCCAACAAGCATCACTAACAYACAGGGGCCGTTTGTGGGGCTGGACTAAGCTTCATCCTTATTTTCCCCACTTGTCCCACTTCACTCTGACTTCTGCTCACATGTGGATGGGAAAGACCCCAGAAGAATCTGGAAAACATCGGCTGAGTTAAAACAAGGCTTCACACAACATCATGAAGTCGCAGATGCCACGGGGATGGTTTGGCTGGTGCACTGGACACAGGGCCAGCTCTGGGTGCCGTGGGATACTGGGCGGCTGGGCAAGCCCCATCCTGCCCCAAAAACGTCCCACTCTGTGCAGCCAAACCTGGCACAGCAGATATCCATCTTCTCACCTTCAAAAGGAAAACGTCCAAAAACCACGTTTTGCTAACAAAAACTGATACACGTTTTGGAAATTAACAGCTGCTTGATGCTAAAAGGGGAGGGGAAGTGGGGGGAGGTAGAAATTAAAAAAAGAAATAAACCAGGAGAAAGGAAAGAACATAATGTAAAAACRGGGTAGGGAAAAGCCTTTAAACTGGAGCCAACTCTATTCAAAGGCACTGAGGAAAGTAATTACATTAGTTTACAAATGCCTTTGTGTTCTGTGGTCTTCTTAGGTTCGGGGTATGTTTCCAGTTTGACTTTGACAGTTTACAAAGCTACCCTGGCCCTGCTAAATGAAGGCAGCATTGCAGCTTGTCCTGGCGGTCCCAGGGYGACCAAAGACAAAACCCACATGAGCATATCTGTGAGCAAAGCCTTACACCTCCTAGAAGGAAAAGTTTGCAAACATCCTGTAAATTCAAGCTATTGATGAAGGATCCCTTTGATCAATGAATTAAAGGAGGYGGAGGGGAAATATCATGTTTCTTAYGCCACGAATCGCTGTTGGGAAGCAGCATTTGGTTGTACTCACCCCGAGCACTCACCCCTTCCTAAAGCACCCACCAAACCGGGCTGTTTGGGATGACTGTACAGCTGGGATGGACTACAAAGGAGCACGCGGTGTCCTGGCGCGGGTGCCGACTTGCTCAGCCCTCACAGCTCCRGCACAGCCAGCTGGGCCATCCTGCCTGGCTCTCATCAAACCAAACAAGCTGCAGAAACATCTGCAAGGCGTTTGCAAAGAGCCCTGCCAGGGCAGGACGTGCTGGCCTGCGTGCAGGAGGGTGCCTGAACAYGGATGTCCCCAACAAGGGGACCTTGCTGAGTCAGCCACAGCGCAGTAAATCCTCACACACAGCGGAGTCTGCTCAAAATACAGACACAGCAGCATCCCCTACATCCTCCCCATACCCAGAACAGCATCATTTCCCCTGGGAACATGCCAGAGTACCGCAGCCCATTCCATAACACCCGGGGATGTCCCGTGGCAGCACAGGGAGCTGTTGGCACAGTGATGGGTGTGCTCGGCCGTGGCCCCTTCTCCTGGCTCGCTGCTGCGTGCAAACTCCCACGGGATTTGGCTGCTGCAGGAAGRAGGCAGCCAGTGGCTCTGACAAGCCTGTGCCAGCCCGGGCGAGCAGAGCTGCTCCTGTGGCTTGCCTGCTCCTCCCCGGTGCTGGCTTCTGAACAGCACACGTCAGGCTTTAATGACCCTTTACACTGAGCACTTMAAATTGACAGAGAAACAAACCTGATGCTTTTGCATGTCCCTCATTCCTGCTGGCCTCCCTCGGAAAAGAAAGGGGGGTAAAAAAATCCTAAACAAACCACACGCAAATAACTTTCCCAATATGTCTGTGAAATGCTGCTAATGCCTGTACACGTCGACTCA